AAAGGAAAGGAAAGGAAAGGAAAGGAAAGGAAAGGAAGAAAGATATCCAGGCGGATATGCTAATCCTAGCACTTTCGGAGGCCAAGGCAGGTGAATTGCCTGAGCTCATAGGTTTGAGACCAGCCTGAGCAAGAGCAAGAACCCCGTCTCTAAAGAGCCAGGTGTTGTAGCAGGTGCCTGTAGTCGCAGCTATTAGGGAGGCTGAGACAAGAGGATCACTTGAGCCCAAGAGTTTGAGGTTGCTGGCTCCATGGCACTCTATTGAGGGCGACAAAGTGAGACTTTGCCTCAAAAAAATAAAATAAAATAAAAAATTTAAAAAATCCAGATACAACCAATATTGCTTTGAATCATCCCCTTCTCTGAGAGGCACTGATGTGGTTTAATTTTTATTTAATTTTTTTGAGATGGAATCTTGCTAAGTTGCCCAAGCTGGCCTCAAACTTCTGACTTCAAGCAATTCCCCTGCCTAAGCCTCCCAAGCCTGTAGGACTAAAGATGTATGCGACCACACCTGTTTCTTTTTGGTTTGTTTGTTTGTTTTTGCAGTTTTTGGCCAGGGCTGGGTTTGAACCCACCTCCTCTGGCATATGGGGCCAGCGCCCTACTCCTTTGAGCCACAGACACCACCCTCTTTTTGGTCTTTGTTCTGACAGTCTTGCTCTGTCACCCATGCTACAGTGTAGTGGTGTCATCATAACTTACTGCAGCCTCAAACTCCTGGACTCAAAGGGTCTTCCCACCTCAGCCTCCCAGGTAACTGGGAGTACAGGTGAGCAACACCATGCCCAGCTAAATTTTAAATTTTTTGTAGAGATCAGGTATCACTGTGCTGCCCAGGCTGGTCTCAAACAACCCTCCCACTTCAGTCTCCTAAAGTGCTGAAATTAGAGCAATGAGCCACCCTGCCTATAGTTTCAGAAGTCAAACGCTATTCAAAGGAAGGGCTACAATGATGGTGTTTCCAATTTCTGATAACTGTTCTAAGAGTCAGCGTGTGTCAGTCAGTACTTTCTGTGGTGATCTGGTAGTGACTTCACTTTTTCTTTTTTGAGTCAGTCTCAGGCTGTAGCCCTGGGTAGAGTGCTATGGCATCATAGCTCATAGCAACCTCCAACTCTTGGGCTCAAGAGATCCTCTTGCCTCAACTTTTTTTTTTTTTTTTGAGACAGTCTCACCCCATTGCCCTTAGTATAGTGCCATAGCATCATAGCTCACAGCTACCTCCAACTCCTGGGCCTAGGTGATTCTCTTGCCTCAGCCTCCTGAGTAGCTGGGACTACAGGTGCCCACCATGCCTGGCTTTTTGTTGCAGTTTGGTCAGGGCCAGGTTCAAACCTGCTACCTTTGGTATACCCTACCCACTGAGCCACAGGTTATTTTTAGACAGAGTCTCACTATGTCCCCCTCAGTAGAGTACCAAGGCATCACAGATCACAGCAACCTCCAACTCTTATGCTTAGGTGATTCTCTTGCTTCAGCCTCCCAAGTAGCTGGGGCTATAGGTGCCCGCCACAACACCTGGCTAATTTTTGTTGCAGTTTGGCTGGGGCCTGGTTCAAACCCGCCACCCTCGGTATATGGGGTCAGTGCCCTACCCACTGAACCACAGGCACCGCCCCCAATCTCATTTTCTTAAATGGCATTATGCTTCCTTTTGGTGGTTGTGGTTAGTTTTAGATACATGCAAAGTCAGTGGGACAGAAGGGGAGCAGCTTTTACCCTGAGGTGGTGCAAACTTGATGGAGGTCACAGAATTCAGAGGCTATGAACAAAGGTGGGTCATGTTTGGCACATGACAGACCAACAATGGTCCCACGTGGGGGTTAATCACATCTAGACCTGGTGCCCTCATCCTAACAAAGGAAATAGCTGTGACTCATTTTATTCTTTTTTTTTTTTTTTTTTTTGAGTCAGAGTCTCAAGCTGTCACCCTGGGTGGAGTGCTATGGCATCACAGCTCATAGCAATCTCCAACTCCTGGGCTCAAGGGATTCTCCTGCCTCTGCCTCCCAAGTAGCTGGGACTACAGGTGCCTGCCACAATGCCTGGCTATTTTTTGCTTGCAGCTGTCATTGTTGTTTGGTGGGTCCAGGCTGGATTTGAACCTGCCAGCTCAGGTGTATGTGGCTGGCGCCTTAGCCACTTGAGCCACAGGTGCCCAGCCTCATTTTATTCTTAATACAGATGCTCCCCCAACTTACAGTGGGGTTATATCCCAATAAACTCATCTCAAGTCAAAAATATAAGTTAAAAAAGCATTTAGCCAGGCCTAGTGGCTTGTATGTATAGTCTCAGTTACTTAGGAGACTGCACCAGGGTGGATCACTTAAGTCCAGGAGTTCGAGGATGCAGTGAGCTATGATCACGTCACTGTGGTCCAGCCTGCATGGCAGAGCAAGACCTATCTCTAAGAAAAAATAAAATAAAAATGCATTTAACGCTAGCAACATAGCAGATAGTCCCTGACTTAAAATAGTACAATTTTTATTTTTACAGTTTTTGGCTGGGGCTGGGTTTGAACCTGCCACCTCCAGCATATGGGGCTGGCGCCCTACTCCTTTGAGCCACAGGCGCCGCCCCAATTTTTAATTTTTTAACTTTATAATAGTATTAAGAGCAGTAATCATTCCTGTAGAGACCATAACTTTGTGGAAGGTCATAAGGAGCTCCTTGACTTAAGATGGAGGTTATCTCCCGATAAACCCATTGTCAAGCTGAAAAATCTTAAGTGGTACCATAATGAGGGACTGTCTGACTTTTCAGTATATATAAAAAATGGCTGGGTGCCTGTGGCGCCAGCCACATACACCTAAAGTGGTGGGTTCAAATCCGCCCACCAATCAACAATGATGGCTGCAACCAAAAAATAGCCGGGCGTTGTGGCGGGCGCCTGTGGTCCCAGCTACTTGGGAGGCGGAGGCAGGAGACTCGCTTGAGCCCAGGAGTTGGAGGTTGCTGTGAGCTATGCCACGGCACTCTACCCAGGGGGACAGCTTGAGGCTCTGTCTCAAAAAAAAAAAACAGTGTATGTAAAATGTAATCCACCTATATACTGTAATGCAGATGCGCACACACCAAGATCCCAGTGACAGGATAATTCAAGAGATCAAGACAGCCCCACTTCCCTTTCCCTGGGTCACCATGGCCTTAATGTACCTGGTTGCCTATGTGTGACCTATGTGCAAGAGCAGCCACCACATACCTGGGGGAGATAGTGGCAGTACCATGGGTGCCACTCCTTCCTACTTCCTCAACCTCTTTCTCCCCTGTCCATTCCTTTCCTTTGGAATCTTTCCCTGCACTCTCTCATGGTGCTCACTTCTCTCATCATCCACCCACCTTTCCCCAGGCTGATCTCCAATAGCTGAGCGTTTGGCCTTTTCCTCAAACATATGTGTTTCTTCTCTTTCCCCTTCGTCCTCTATTTTCTTTCTACTCTTAGGTCTTTTCTCCCTGTCTCAGTTCTACTCTGTTCTCCCTCCTGCTAAAGCTCCCACCCTGCAACCCAGGTGAATGCCACACAAACTTACAAGATGCTACTTGCAGAAGCCAGCATCCGCTACCCCTTCTGTTTGTAAAAACTGGCTTACTCCTTTATTTGTTCAAAACAGCACTCCTCCCATCTCAAACCCAGCATGCACTTCAGCAACAATGGCCTCAGACCCTCGTGCTGCAGGGCCCTGGAGAGTTTCCAGGCAGAAGCCCAGAGTCCAAGTGGGGCATGGCTCAGGCACTGTGGTGAAGGGAACGGTGCAGAGTCAGCCCCATCTTGCAGGGGACATGGAGGTACACACAGGGCTGGCCTGTGTTCCACTGGCCTAGCACCAGACCTCAGGGTCCCAGGAGGGTATGCAGGCAACTAGGAGCCTGTCAAGTACTGGTGGAAATAGAGGCCAAAGAGGCTGGAGAGAAGCTGGCAAGCAGCTGTCCACCAGACAAGGTAGGCCAAGACGCCTCGGAGGAAGAGAGGTGTAAGCAAACTGCCCAGGGCGCCAGCGATACTCGCTGCTGTCTGCTGGACTTCATCCTCCCCGGGGCCAAGTGGAATAGCACTGGCTGAGGATATGGCGGGGAACAGTGGGGGTGCTGGGCCCAGTCCCCAGGAGTAGCCACCTAGGATAGGAGAAAACAAGAGGGAGATATGAGAACATAGGAGGGGTTGGGCTCTCAAGGGTCCTCCAGCCTTGGCTGTACCAAAACCAGGCTGACCCCACCCAGGCCTCACCTCTACCCTATCCCCCATCTACTGGCCCCTGCCTTCCTCTCCCTTTACCACTCTACCCCCTGCAACTTCTCACCCAGTGTCTTCAGTAGTAACGTGCAGTTGAGGGTGAGGATGAGTGGTGTGAGGTACTGCAAGCTTACCACCGTCACGTAACAGTAGACACGGACCACCTGGTGGGCAAGTAGCAGTGGTGGCTATAGAGCAGGGGCTTCTTGGGTTCGGAATAACTCCACTCCGCCCGCCAGTGTGAACCAGAGACCTACCCTGAGCCCCATGTTCCCTCCCTGCCCAGGCATCCATACCCGCTGCTGGATCTCACGGGCCTCAATGCGGCCAGCCTCCCTCCGAAGCTGTTCTACTCGGGCCTTGGCTAGGCACAGGTAGGCCTGCAGGTGGGGCCGGGTCACTGCCAGCCGCAGCAGGCACAGCGCTACCAGCACCCAGAGGCGCACTGAGTCAAAGGCTGAGTCTGAAAGCCTGTGGCAAGAGGGTGGGGGCTAGAGGGCTAATATAGCTATCCCTTCACCCTCTAGGATCCACCCCCAGAATCTTCTCCCAGCTCCTCCCTGAGCCTCATAAACTACAGTACATAGAGGGGCCTCCCAGCCCCACCCAATACGCACAGGGAGAAGGATGTCCCCCCAAAAGGTGCTTGGTGCATGAAGTCCCGTGCAATGGGCTTTGTCCAGAGCCATAAGATGAATAGGGGAGATAGGAAGCTGGTGTGCAGGAGGAACCTGGAGGTGAAGGCAGGAAGGAGTGAGATACCCTACCACTCCCCTACATTCCCCCAGGTCCCCAATCCCCTCACCCACCAAGCAACCCACGTAACTGCAGCATGGGCCGGTCCTCTGACATGATCAGTGCATCACGGTGGGTCTGGGCCAGTCGCAAGCCTGGGAAGGTAAGGAAGGCACCCAGCATGGAGCCTACCACTGCCAGCCCCACGCGGATAGCCAGCTTGACCAGAGGGAGCCTGAGAATAGCAAGTTGAGAGGCCCCATAGCCAGTCAAAAGCCTGCCTGTGGGACCCTGGGAGATTCCCAGCCTTTCCCTGCCCCCCAACCTCAATCCCAGAACTCACGCCCAGTCCCAGCCCTGCTTCTTTAGAAGTGGCTCCAAATTCTGTGTCATGCTGGCCAGGCCTAGGGAAGATAAGGAGAGGATGTAATAGAGTGGATTCCCAGGGTCTCTAAGTCCATTCTGCCCTCCTCCCAGGCATCCCTTTGTTCCCCAAGCTAGAATGCACCAGTGGTAGCTAGTCTCTGTGCTAGGCACCAAAACAACTTTGTGCTCTGGTTATTATGCAGGGATGTCTTCAAGAATCAGAAGAATGCACCAAGCAGACATCTCTAATTTGCCTGGGGCTGAATTTCCTAGATGATTCCAGGAATCTGGAAGGAGATGAAAAACTCCTGCAGGAGAAAACTAAAGTCCTCCTGGAAAAAGGAATTCTCTATTCAAGCCCCAAGAGTTTCCACAGACTAAAAGCAAATCAGGCTCAGCACCTGTAGCAAAGTGGTTACTGTGCTAGCCACATATACACCAAGGCAGGCGAGCTTGAACCCAGCCTGGGCCAGCTAAACAACAATGACAACTGCAACAAAAAATAGCTGAGTATTGTGGCAGGTGCCTGTAGTCCCAGCTACTTGGGAGGCTGAGGCAAGAGAATCGCTTGAGCCCAAGAGTTTGAGGTTGCTGTGAGCTGT